ACACACACACACACACACACACTGCTGACATTAAAATGCTGTTTAAATTTTATTTTGGGAATTTTAAGAATTTTTGGTCCTTTTTTAAAATATTTTTCTTTTTCGTGTTTTTTGACAGTATTTTTAAATTTGTGTATCAAAAGTATTTTTCATTTTTGTGTTTTTGTAGTTTTTCTCATTATTGTGTTTTTTTGTAGTATTTCTGATATAGTACCTGCAGTACTTTTACTCACTTCCTGTCTCACCGCAGCTGAAGCGTCTGCGGGAGGCGGAGTCTCAGTTTCTTCCTCTCTTGGATAAAAACAAACGTCTGAGCAGGAAGAACGAGGACATGGCCCTCGCTCTGCGTCGCCTTGACAACAAGCTTCGCTTTGTCACCCAGGAGAACATGGAGATGGTAACTATGGTAACCTGAAGCCTGTATTCCTGTACCCTAAACACACAAACACACACACACACACACTCACCATGTTCATGTTGTTCTCACTGAATCCTCGACTTCTTCTGAAAAACATGATTTTAAGTCTTTAATTGAAGGAAAGGACAGAGAAAGAGGAGGACAGAGGTCAAATGCAGCAAAGGATTGTGGGTCAGATTGAGTCCGGGGCTGTCCACTGAAGTCTCTTCCTTTAGGGTCGTGAGTCTGAAACAGTCGTGAGTCGATGAGACGCTGATAAAAACAAAGTTTGATGGTTTGAAAATTTAACTTCAGTTTGAAACAGAAAAAATCGACTTAAATCTGACGTTTTAGAAGATGACCTCGGTGCAAAAATGCAGGGATGAACTACACGAAGACAGAATCAAGCTGGCAGCCTCTCGCGGGATTTTATTCTGGTCACAGCATCAAACACAGCTCATGAACAATCGAACAGACAGAACCCAGAACAGAAAACCACAGATCTCTTATAGTACTCCATTGACGTCACTGATCTCAACTTTTGCCAAATGTGTGTGCGAAGCTACCTTCCTGTGTGTATCACTTTCCCGTGGGAGAGCTCCCTACGTGACTTCTCCCTTGCCACTATCTCTGAAGCCAAATTCCTGTTATTGCAACACAGTTCACCATGACTGTGTTGCAGTCCTGTTTTCTTGCCTCATAGCAACCTCCAAAACATCCAACCACATCTGTTATTTTCCCCCACAACGTCTGAAAAAAGTTCATGTCCCTCAGGTTCTCATGTCTCTCATGTCTCTCATGTCTCTCATGTCTCTCATGTCTCTCAGGTTCTCATGTCCCTCAGGTTCTCATGTCTCTCATGTCTCTCATGTCTCTCATGTCTCTCACGTCTCTCAGGTTCTCATGTCTCTCATGTCTCTCGTGTCTCTCATGTCTCTCAGGTTCTCATGTCTCTCAGGTTCTCATGTCTCTCGTGTCTCTCATGTCTCTCATGTCTCTCGTGTCTCTCATGTCTCTCATGTCTCTCATGTCTCTCGTGTCTCTCATGTCTCTCATGTCTCTCAGCTCGTCTCTCCCGTCTCTCTGTAAACCTTAGAGGAACCCAGCAGACCAGTTTCTGGAGTTTTTCTGAATCGGTTTTAACTCCCTTTATCTACAGCTGTCTCATATTTAAGAGTCAGACTTTATGCTCATATATCAGCACAGCGCCCCCTGGAGGTCTGTTTATCTCAGCTCAGAGTAGTGAAGGCAGGAATCAATCAATCAATCAGACTTTATTGATAAAGCACGGACAGTTCTCAGATTTGACTTTGTTGTCTGATGTTCTCAGAGGAGACCGAGTTCTCTCAACGACCTGGACAGAAGCCACTCCTCCAGTTACCATGGTTACAGCCAGGACCACAGAGAGATGGAGTTTCTACGGTTACAGGTCCAAGAGCAGCAAAACATCATCGAGGATCTGTCCAAGGTACTCGTGTTGGTAAAATACTGTGGTACTTTTACTACAGCAGCACTTTATCACAGAGTGGAACGACAAATAGAACTTTACTAATACGAATACTACTAATACTAATACTAATACTAACACTGTACTATACTAACAGTAATACTACTAATACTAACACTAATACTAATACTAACACTGTACTATACTAACAGTAATACTACTAATACTAACACTGAACTATACTAACAGTAATACTACTAATACTAATACTGAACTATACTAACAGTAATACTACTAATACTAATACTGAACTATACTAACAGTAATACTACTAATACTAACACTGAACTATACTAACAGTAATACTACTAATACTAATACTGAACTATACTAACAGTAGTACTACTAATACTAATACTGAACTATACTAATACAAATACTACTAATACTAACACTGAACTACACTAACAGTAATACTACTAATACTAACACTGAACTATACTAATACAAATACTACTAATACTAACACTGAACTACACTAACAGTAATACTACTAATACTAACACTGAACTATACTAACAGTAGTACTACTATTACTGTAATTTCTTGAAGTACCCCGAATCATCTTTATGAAGTCTGAATAAAACAAACAAAAACTGTTGGAGAGAGAAAAACGTTTTACGAAGAGTGACTCGACATCGAAGCGGTGACGGGGAATAATCGATCAATATCATAACGATAATAATAATGATAATAATATCATTTTGATTATAATTAATAAACTAATTAATGTTGCACTCAGCAGGCCTTGTCTTCATCCTCCTATCGTGATCTAGATCTCTCCAACAGCAGCAGCCGATCGTCAGAGTGTCTGAATATTGATCAGGAATAATCAATGAATCCATGTTTGTGTTTCAGGCTCTGGAGACGGCCGGATACGTCAAAAATGTGATTGTAAGTACAACCTTACTGTCTGTACTTGAGTCTGTACTTGTGTCTGTACTTCTGTCTGTACTTCTGTCTGTACTTGTGTCTGTACTTCTGTCTGAACTTGTGTCTGAACTTGTGTCTGTACTTCTGTCTGAACTTGTGTCTGTACTTGTGTCTGTACCTGAGTCTGTACTTCTGTCTGTACTTGTGTCTGAACTTGTGTCTGTACTTGTGTCTGTACTTCTGTCTGTACTTCTGTCTGAACTTGTGTCTGTACTTGTGTCTGTACTTCTGTCTGAACTTGTGTCTGTCCTTCATAAAGCGTCTGTGTCGTTTCAGGAGAGGGACATGTTGCTGAGATACAGACGACAGGATTCAGTGAGGAGGAGACGAACGATCAGAGCGTGTCGAGTGAGAGAAACACGAGAAGATCGAGAGTTAACAACCACAACACAACAGTTTACTGACACACAACCTGTGTGTGTCTGTCTGTGTATGTCTGTGTCTGTGTGTGTCTGTGTGTGTGTCTGTTCAGGTGATTGAGACCTTCTATGGTTACGATGAAGAGGTCGACTCTGATGGATCATCTCTGTCCTTTCACACCGACAGAACTCCAGATACTGAACCAGAGGAGGTACACACACACACACACACACACACACACACACACACACACACACACACACACACACACACACACACACACACACACACACACACAGACACACACACACACACAGACACACACACACAGACACACACACACACACAGAGACACACACACACAGACACACACACACACACACACACACACACACACACACACACACACACACACACACACACACAGACACACACACACTTGTTCTTGATGTTAATTCCAGGATCTGCAGTTAGAGCTTCCGGGCCCTGACTGGTGTGTATCTTTGTGTGTGTGTTTATGTGTGTGTGCGTGTGTGTGTGTGCGTTTGTGTGTGTGTGCGTTTGTGTGTGTATTTTAGGTGGGGGTCCATGAGGAGGCGGAGATTCGTTACCGACAGCTGACTCAGGAGTATCAGGCGCTGCAGCGAGCGTACGCCCTGCTGACGGAGACCAGCGGAGGAAACTACGACCCAGAGAAGGAGATCAGGGTGAGTCTGAGCGAGGCAGCGGGTCGACGGTTCTACTCTGAGAACAGGAGCAGCGGGTCGACGGTTCTACTCTGACAACAGGAGCAGCGGGTCGACGGTTCTACTCTGAGAACAGGAGCAGCGGGTCGACGGTTCTGTTGACGGTTCTGTTGTTTTCTGTGTTTCAGACCCGAGAGCAGCTGCTGAGTGAACTGAGTCGATATGAGAGCAGAGTGACTGACCTGGAGTCAGCTCTGAAACAACAAGGACTGGTAATACACACACAGACACACACACAGACACACACATTCACACACAGACAGACACACACACACAGACAGACACACACACACAGACAGACAGACACACACAGACACACACACACACACACACACACAGAGACACACACACATTCACATAGAGACACACACACACAGACACACACAGACATTCACACACAGACACACACACACACAGACACACACACACAGACACACACACACACAGACACACACACACAGAGACACACAGAGACACACAGACACACACAGACACACACACAGACACACACACACAGAGACACACAGACACACACACAGACACACACACAGACATACACAGACACACACACAGACACACACACACACACAGACACACAGACAGACAGACACAGACACACACACACAGACACACACACAGACACACACAGACAGACACACAGACACACACACACAGACATACACACACACACAGACACACACACAGACACACACAGACAGACACACAGACACACACACACAGACACACACACAGACACACACAGACACACACAGACAGACACAAACACACATTCACACACACAGACACACACACACACACAGAGACACACACATGTTGGTGTTTTGCATTAATAAACTTTTTTACGATCAAATCGTCGTTTCCTGAAAAATCGTTTTTTTACCATCAGTGACGTTTTTGTTCATCGACACTTTCTAAAGTTTCAGGACTGAGACTCAGTGACTCCAAGGTCTCCTCTCACCTGTCTCCTCTCACCTGTCCTCTCTCACCTGTCTCCTCTCTCACCTGTCCTCTCTCACCTGTCCTCTCTCACCTGTCTCCTCTCTCACCTGTCTCCTCTCTCACCTGTCCTCTCTCACCTGTCCTCTCTCACCTGTCTCCTCTCTCACCTGTCTCCTCTCACCTGTCCTCTGTCACCTTTCTCCTCTCACCTGTCCTCTCACACCTGTCTCCTCTCTCACCTGTCCTCTCTCACCTGTCCTCTCTCACCTGTCTCCTCTCACCTGTCTCCTCTCTCACCCGTCTCCTCTCTCACCTGTCCTCTGTCACCTGTCTCCTCTCACCTGTCTCCTCTCTCACCTGTCCTCTTTCACCTGTCCTCTCTCACCTGTCTCCTCTCTCACCTGTCCTCTCTCACCTGTCCTCTCTCACCTGTCTCCTCTCTCACCTGTCTCCTCTCACCTGTCCTCTCTCACCTGTCTCCTCTCACCTGTCCTCTCACACCTGTCTCCTCTCTCACCTGTCTCCTCTCACCTGTCTCCTCTCTCACCTGTCCTCTCTCACCTGTCCTCTCTCACCTGTCTCCTCTCTCACCTGTCCTCTCTCACCTGTCTCCTCTCACCTGTCCTCTCTCACCTGTCTCCTCTCTCACCTGTCCTCTCTCACCTGTCTCCTCTCACCTGTCCTCTCTCACCTGTCTTCTCTCACCTGTCTCCTCTCACCTGTCTCCTCTCACCTGTCTCCTCTCTCACCTGTCCTCTCTCACCTGTCTCCTCTCTCACCTGTGTCCTCTCTCACCTGTCCTCTCTCACCTGTCTCCTCTCACCTGTCTCCTCTCTCACCTGTCTCCTCTCTCACCTGTCCTCTCTCACCTGTCCTCTCTCACCTGTCTCCTCTCTCACCTGTCTCCTCTCTCACCTGTCCTCTCTCACCTGTCTTCTCTCACCTGTCTCCTCTCACCTGTCTCCTCTCTCACCTGTCCTCTCTCACCTGTCTCCTCTCTCACCTGTGTCCTCTCTCACCTGTCCTCTCTCACCTGTCCTCTCTCACCTGTCTCCTCTCACCTGTCTCCTCTCTCACCTGTCTCCTCTCACCCGTCTCCTCTCTCACCTGTCTCCTCTCACCTGTCTCCTCTCTCACCTGTCTCCTCTCACCCGTCTCCTCTCTCACCTGTCTCCTCTCACCTGTCTCCTCTCACCTGTCCTCTCTCACCTGTCCTCTCTCACCTGTCTCCTCTCTCACCTGTCTCCTCTCACCTGTCCTCTCTCACCTGTCCTCTCTCACCTGTCTCCTCTCTCACCTGTCTCCTCTCACCTGTCTCCTCTCTCACCTGTCTCCTCTCACCTGTCCTCTCTCACCTGTCTCCTCTCTCACCTGTCTCCTCTCTCACCTGTCTCCTCTCACCTGTCTCCTCTCTCACCTGTCTCCTCTCACCTGTCCTCTCTCACCTGTCCTCTCTCACCTGTCTCCTCTCTCACCTGTCTCCTCTCACCTGTCCTCTCTCACCTGTCTCCTCTCACCTGTCCTCTCTCACCTGTCTCCTCTCTCACCTGTCTCTTCTCTCACCTGTCTCCTCTCACCTGTCAGGACGTGAAGTGGGTCGAGGAGAAGCAGGCGTTGTATCAGAGAAATCAAGAGTTGGTGGAGAAGGTAAAGTTGGACTTTCCTGTTTGTGAGTTCTGGAGAAGTCTATGGAAACCTGACTCAGACTGTGTGTACCTGTGTGTACCTGTGTGTACCTGTGTGTGCCTGTGTGTACCTGTGTGTACCTGTGTGGACCTGTGTGGACCTGTGTGTACCTGTGTGTACCTGTGTGTGCCTGTGTGTGCCTGTGTGTACCTGTGTGTACCTGTGTGGACCTGTGTGTACCTGTGTGTGCCTGTGTGTACCTGTGTGTACCTGTGTGTGCCTGTGTGTACCTGTGTGTACCTGTGTGTACCTGTGTGTGCCTGTGTGTACCTGTGTGTACCTGTGTGTACCTGTGTGTACCTGTGTGTGCCTGTGTGTACCTGTGTGTGCCTGTGTGTACCTGTGTGTACCTGTGTGTACCTGTGTGTACCTGTGCAGGTGCGTCAGATGGAGGGTGAAGACCTGCGGCTGAGAAACGACATTCAGGACATCCGCGATCAGAACGAGCTGCTGGAGTTTCGGATTTTAGAGCTGGAGGTAAAAAAACAAACTTTCAAACCGAGAATCAGACGACAGACAGGTAGACTGACTGTCTCTGTGTTTCCATGGAAACCACTTCACCTGTTCAGGAGAGGGAACGACGCTCACCCGCCATCAACTTCAACCAGTACCATTTCCCAGAAGGCCTCAGTCCTCTGCAGATCTACTGTGAGGCGGAGGGAGTCACTGTGAGTACGAACACACCTGAGCTGAACACCTGTAAACACACACACCTGTCTGCCTGACTGATCACATGACTTCCTGTCTGCCTGACTGATCACATGACCTCCTGGCGTCTGTTCCTCAGGAGATCGTGATCAGTGAGTTGATGAAGAAGCTCGACATTCTGGGAGATAACGCCGTAAGTGTATGTTGAATTTATTTTGTACATGTTTGTGTTTCAATAAAGTTTGATTTGAACTTCCTGTTACCTGTGAAGACGTTCACCTGAACTCGGTTCAAGTTCTGATCTAAGACCCGAGCGAAGAGAGACAGGACCCGGACCCCAGAACCAGACGTGTCTGTTTGATCTAGTTTGATTCACCGTGACTCTCCGTGTTGTTGACGTGTTTGAGGCGTGTTGTTCATATGGCGTTGACGTGTTTGAGGCGTGTTGTTCATATGGCGTTGTCATGGCGTTGTTATGATGTCTTGCAGAATCTGTCCAATGACGAGCAGGTGGTGGTGATCCACGCCAGGACTGTGCTCACTCTGGCAGAAAAGGTAACAGACTCACCTGAACACGCCTGAATGATCACCTTGGTTACCATGGAGATGTGACGCTGGAGGAACCACCTGACCCTGAAAAAAACGCCTTAAAGATACAAACACAAAAGTCCAAGAACCAAACAGCTCAGATCAGACGGGCCACGACCCCCAGATCTTCAGCTATTAAGGTGTTGAAGTCCACTAGGTGGCGCTCTCCCAGATCCTCCAAAATTCAAGTGTTTTATTGTCAGTTTCTGTAAAAACACACACACACACACACACACACACACACACACACACACACACACACACACACACACACACACACACACAGATGTTTGTCTCCAGCCGTTCAGGAAAAAACAGAAACAAGAGCCAGAACTAAAGAAAGACTCGTGTTCAGCTGAGAGGATCTTCTCACGGAGGTCCAGAGGTCCAGAGGTCCAGAGGTCCAGAGGTCCGGAGGTCCAGAGGTCCGGAGGTCCAGAGGTCCAGAGGTCCGGTCCCTCTAAAGGAGTTCTGTAAAGGATCTCTGTGTGAATCAGAGTCCAACTCTCTTCCTGCTGGAAACATTAAACTTCCTGTTTCATACAGACACTGGTAACCATCCTCTCCAGGTGTGGCTCCAGAGTGACCCGGGGTCTCCGTACCCGCGGTCCGGTCGCTCCTCTCTGAGTTTTTCATTTTAAAGGTTTTGATCTAATCTTGGTCTGATGATCCCTTCAGTCCACCTTAAAGGGATTAAATTAATTTAGGGTCAAACCCACCGTAACCCCGAGTTAGACCCCCCCTCCAGAGATGAATGTTGTCGACCGCTTGCTTCTCTAGTTATACCAACTTTAGTAACGACCACAGGATAGAAATACAGAGAGCCACGCCCTCAACCAAAACGCCACTCTATAGCCACAAATAATGCTCAGAACAGCACCTAACTTCATCAACAGGACATATAGGGTCACAGACATAGTACTAGACACCAAACATCTTTTTAACTTTGACTCATTTCTTTAGACATAAAACACAAACCAGAGACCACATCTGACCTGGACTGGGCGGTCAGCTGACCTTTGACCTGGCCCATAAAGAATGCAGAAAAGCTCTCATTGGTCAAAACTGAACCTGAGACATTTTCTGTCCCTTCACCTTCCTGGTTCCTGGAACCTTTTTCTGGACTTATCTCTTTCTTTCCGGTTCCCTCCCTCTGTCCTTATGTCCTTCTGCTCTGTCTGTCTGTCTGTCTGTCCCTCTGTCTGTCCGTCTGTCCCTCTGTCTCTCTGTCTGTCCCTCTGTCTGTCTGTCTGTCTGTCTGTCTATCCCTCTGTCTGTCCCTCTGTCTGTCTGTCCGTCTGTCTCTGTGGACAGTGGTTGGAGTCCATCGAGGTGACGAAGTCAGCCCTCCAGCAGAAGATGTTGGACATTGAAAGTGAGAAGGTAACGTCTAAGTTCTGACTCTGAGTGACGGACGTCTCTGTAGAACTTAGGTTTGAGTTTTAGACTGAGGAAGAGGATGATGAAGATGATGATGATGATGATGGTGTTGATGATGATGAAGATGAGGATGATGATGAGGATGATGATGAGGATGATGATGATGATGATGAGGATGATGATGATGATTATGATGAAGATGAGGATGATGATGAGGATGGTGATGATGAAGATGAGGATGATGATGATGATGAAGATGATGATGAAGATGAGGATGATGATGATGATGAGGATGATGATAAAGATGAGTATGATGATGATGGTGTTGACGATGATGAAGATGAGGATGATGATGATGATGATGATGATGATGATGATGAGGATGATGATGATGATGATGAGGATGATGATGATGATTATGAGGATGATGATGATGATGATGATGAAGATGAGGATGATGATGAGGATGGTGATGATGAAGATGAGGATGATGATGATGATGATGATGATGATGAAGATGATGATGAAGATGAGGATGATGATGATGGTGTTGATGATGATGAAGATGAGGATGATGATGATGATGATGATGATGATGATGATGAGGATGATGATGATGATGATGATGAAGATGATGATGATGATGAGGATGGTGATGATGAAGATGAGGATGATGATGATGATGATGATGATGAGGATGATGATAAAGATGAGGATGATGATGATGGTGTTGATGATGATGATGATGATGAGGATGATGATGATGAGGATGATGATGATGATGATGAGGATGATGATGATGAGGATGATGATGATGATGATGAGGATGATGATGATGATGATGATGAAGAAGATGAGGATGATGATGGTGATGATGATGATGATGATGATGATGAGAATGAGACAAAAGTCGTCTGATAATTAAATGTTGTTACATGATGAGTTAATGATGATAATGACTTTAGTAATGAGGAACTTTATGGTTTTAGGTGATAATTAAAATATTGAAATCTTAATGTCTAACGTCTAGTAAACACACCTGTTCATCTCACCTTCTACCATGACCTCTGACCTTTGTGTTTGACCTTTAGGATCTCTTCAGTAAACAGAAAGGTTACCTGGACGAGGAACTGGACTACAGGAAGCAGTCCATGGATCAGGCTCACAAGGTCAGGAGGGTGGGCGGAGCTTCAAACATGTGATAACTGACATGGAGACAGGTGTGACTGTGGACAGGTGTGGACAGGTGTGACTGTGGACAGGTGTGGACAGGTGTGAATGTGGACAGGTGTGGACAGGTGTGACTGTGGACAGGTGTGGACAGGTGTGACTGTGGACAGGTGTGGACAGGTGTGAATGTGGACAGGTGTGACGGTGGACAGGTGTGGACAGGTGTGACTGTGGACAGGTGTGGACAGGTGTGACTGTGGACAGGTGTGGACAGGTGTGAATGTGGACAGGTGTGACTGTGGACAGGTGTGGACAGGTGTGAATGTGGACAGGTGTGAATGTGGACAGGTGTGGACAGGTGTGACTGTGGACAGGTGTGGACAGGTGTGGACAGGTGTGCTGGAGCAGGAACTCTGTCCAGGTAACTGTGTGTTTCTGTTTCAGAGGATTCTGGAACTGGAGGCCATGTTGTTTGAAGCTCTGCAGCAGGAGGAGGCGGGGCTAAAGATGGAGGCGGGGTCTCTGTCTGAAACATTGACAGACGACCAGAGGGAGGAGCTTAGGAGAGCCATGGACCAATGGAAACGCACCGTCATGTTTGAACTGAGAGAGAGAGACGCCCAGATCCTGAGAGAGAGGATGGAGCTGCTGCAACTCACACAACAGGTACACAACTACACAACTACACAACAGCTACACAACAGGTACACAAGTACACAACTACACAACAGCTACACAACAGGTACACAAGTACACAGCAACAGGTACACAACTACACAACAACAGGTACACTTACACAACAACAGGTACACAACTCACACAACAGGTACACAAGTACACAACTACACAACAGCTACACAACAGGTACACAACTACACAACAGGTACACAACAGGTACACAACTACACAACAGGTACACAACAGGTACACAACTACACAACAGGTACACAACAGGTAACAACTACACAACAGGTACACAACTACACAACAGCTACACAACAGGTACACAACTACACAACAGGTACACAACAGGTACACAACTACACAACAGGTACACAACAGGTACACAACTTCACAACTACACAACAGGTACACAACAGGTACACAACTACACAACTACAGGTACACAAGTCCACAACTACACAACAGCTACACAACAGGTACACAACTACACAACTACACAACAACAAGTCCACAACTACACAGCAACAGGTACGCAACTACACAACAACAGGTACACAACTACACAACAGCTACACAACAGGCACACAACTACACAACTACACAACAACAAGTCCACAACTACACAGCAACAAGTCCACAACTACACAGCAACAGGTACACAACTACACAACAACAGATACACAACTACACAACTACACAGGCACACAACAGGTACACAACTACACAGCAACAGGTCCACAACTACACAGCAACAGGTACACATCTACACAAAAACAGGTTCAGCTGTTGTAAAACAAACTCTTACCTAAAGATTCTGATCTTTTTTAAAACTGTATGTCTAATTTAAATGTGTTTGTGTTTGTGTGTGTGTCTGTGTGTGTGTCTGTGTGTGTGTGTGTGTGTGTGTGTGTGTGTGTTTATGTTACAGAGGAATAAAGATTTGGAGGAGTTTATTGAAGCACAGAGACGTCAGATCAAAGAGTTGGAGGAGAAGGTAACAGACACACACTAAAGATACACACTCAAATACAAACACACAAACACACAAACACACACACTCAGTACCGGTCTCGTTGACTCTGACCCGTTTCTTCTCCAGTTCCTGTTCCTCTTCTTGTTCTTCTCGTTGGCGTTCATCCTCTGGTCCTAAAGGAGAGTCCAGGATCCAGGTAAACCAGACCACAGACCATAGACCACAGACTGTAGACCTCAGACTGTAGACCATAGGTAGACCTCAGACTGTAGACCACAGACTGTAGACCTCAGACTGTAGACCATAGGTAGACCTCAGACTGTAGACCACAGACTGTAGACCTCAGACTGTAGACCTCAGACTGTAGACCATAGGTGGACCTCAGACTGTAGACCTCAGACTGTAGACCACAGACTGTAGACCTCAGACCGTAGACCACAGACTGTAGACCACAGACTGTAGACCTCAGACTGTAGACCTCAGACTGTAGACCATAGGTAGACCTCAGACTGTAGACCTCAGACTGTAGACCATAGGTAGACCTCGGACTGTAGACCTCAGACTGTAGACCACAGACTGTAGACCTCAGACTGTAGACCTCAGGTGGACCTCAGACTGTAGACCTCAGACTGTAGGCCTCAGGTGGACCTCAGACATTAGACCACAGACTGTAGACCACAGACTGCAGACCTCAGACTGTAGACCTCAGACTGTAGACCATAGGTAGACCTCAGACTGTAGACCTCAGACTGTAGACCTCAGACTGTAGACCTCAGGTAGAACTCAGACTGCTGACCTCAGGTGGACCTCAGACTGTAGACCACAGACTGTAGACCTCAGGTGGACCTCAGACTGTAGACCACAGACTGTAGACCACAGGCTGCAGACCTCAGACTGTAGACCTCAGACTGTAGACCATAGGTAGACCTCAGACTGTAGACCTCAGACTGTAGACCACAGACTGTAGACCTCAGACTGTAGACCACAGACTGTAGACCTCAGACTGTAGACCACAGACTGTAGACCTCAGGTAGACCTCAGACTGTAGACCACAGACTGTAGACCTCAGACTGTAGACCACAGACTGTAGACCTCAGACAGTAGACCTCAGACTGTAGACCTTAGGTGGACCTCAGACTGTAGACCACAGACTGTAGACCTCAGACAGTAGACCACAGACTATAGACCTCAGGTAGACCTCAGACTGTAGACCACAGACTGTAGACCTCAGACTGTAGACCTCAGTGTTTGATTGACAGGTGTCTCACGTTTGTGTTTCAGGGTCTGCAGGTCTCCAGAGTCCAGCACCTGAGGGACTCATGGGCTCAGCTAAGTCCAGATCAGTCCAAAGGACCACCTGGAGGGTTTATGAACCGGGTCATACTGACCAACGCTGGCCCCGCCCACTGACGAGCCCATTGACTTCTTTTGACCAATCAGAACGGAGTCTGGCTGTAAGCTGACTCTGGAACTGTCAGTTACCTAAAGAGTTCAGAAGCAGATCCTGGTCCTGACCGGGCGCCAATGAGCCGCCGTTAGCTCCGCCTTCTCCTGACATGTAGCCAAAATCCACGGCATGGCGTCCGGGACTGAATGGTGCTGAATTCAAATGGCGTTAGCTAAGCTAGCTGACGCTAAATCAGAGCTAGCTAAGGTCGGTTAGCTTCGCTGTTGACGTAGTTTTTCTGGATCAGTGGGACCAACAACGCAGAACCTGCTGGGACAGGATCGGGTTCAGGATCGGGTTCAGGATCGGGTTCAGGATCGGGTTCAGGATCGGGTTCAGTGTGGCATTCTGGTCTGCACTGAAGTAAACTTTGATCTGATTGAACGCTGTACCTGCTGACTGCAGAGAGCCAATCAGCCGCACTCATGGACCTGAGGGACGCTTCAAAGAACCTGAGTCGACCCGGGACCAAAACCACCGTGGACAGACCACTTCAACGGGGTCTGAGGGCAGTCAGAGACAAAAACCACAGAAGAAGAAAAACATCAGAGGAAGAAAACGAAGGAAGAGTTTGACAGACATCTGAGAGTCTTAGACCTGGATCAGTTTAGACCTGGTTTAGTCTGATCTGGGTCATGATGAGGACAGGCGGGTTCAGAGGGTCCCTCTAAAGAGACTAAATATTTATTAAATTCTATTATTATGATGAAAATTATTATTATTATTATATTATAAAGAGTTTGAGTGTTTTTTCAGGTAAATCGAGTAAAATGGAGACAAAGTTTTTTTTTCCCGTCAAACTGAAGACGGTCGAAAATCAAAAATCTGAAATTTTATTATTGAGAAAATATTTTTATATCTGCTGTGAGCCGAAAAACGTCTGCAGAGATCGGAAACTTTAACGTGAAAAAACAGATTAAACTGGAGAAAAAGAAACAGAGACTGTCTGTGTTTCTGTCTGTGTTTCTGTCTGTGTGTGTGTCTGTGTGCGTCTGTGTGTGTGTCTGTGTGTGTCTGTGTGTATGTCTGTGTGCGTGTCTGTGTGTGTCTGTGTGTGTGTCTGTGTGTGTCTGTGTGTGTGTCTGTGTATGTCTGTGTGCGTGTCTGTGTGTGTCTGTGTGTGTGTCTGTGTGTGTCTGTGTGTATGTCTGTGTGCGTGTCTGTGTGTGTCTGTGTGTATGTCTGTGTGCGTGTCTGTGTGTGTGTCTGTGTTCGTCTGTGTGTGTGTGTGTGTGTGTGTGTGTGTGTGTCTGTGTGTGTGTGTCTGTGTGTGTCTGTGTGTGTGTCTGTGTGTGTGTGTGTGTCTGTGTGTGTCTGTGTGTGTCTGTGTGCGAGGTCTGTTAGGGGCTTGAAGAAGATGACCCTAGAGCGCTGCCTGCTGACTGTCTGCAGTATCGGTTATAAGCCCCGCCTCCTCCATGTTAACAGATGGGACACGGGTCAGCCCCAATTTTCACTACGTCCAGAACGACGGCGATTTTTTGCCGTCCATCAATTCCTACCGGATCTGTTTTTAAGGCG